TCCTTTTCTGATTATATTTCCGCGACATTCTTATACTAAAAATCCTTAAACTGGAATTCTATACTTCGATCCCTTATCTTATTGTGAAATCACCCCAAAATTTTTGTTGTAGGAGTTTTTATATATACTTACCCCATCATCAAATTTAATCAAACGCTTATAAAAACATCAGCTCCTCTATTTTATTTTGCAAAATAATTACCATTCTTCTTGAGTAGGACCATCGGCTCTAGGACTTTAAACCCTAACGACTCGTCGAATGGTATTGTTTTACCCCGCCTATTAGTAATATCGTGGTTTTTTAATATGATGCAAAAATCCGTTGGGAAGTGGGAATATAAAACCGCATTTGCCGGTCCTGCTAGTATATCACAAAAAGAACCCCCCAAGAAGTTGTCACGGCAAGCTCGAGCCCGAATTAATAAAAAACGTCAGGAAGAGGAACAAAGCACAATCTTACCAGAAGAACATAACTCAGCAGTATTAATTCCTGACATCGTACTACCATCGAGGTCAAACATTATTTTTAATCCAAACCGGGTATGTATTATTTCTAGTTATATTAGTATAAGATTGTTTTTTGTGTTGATAAGATGTCCATCCAAGCTATTTGTACGGGTGTACTTAGTCATGCAAAAAATTTCATTTCTAATATGGGAATGATAGGGTCTCTGTTTATGTACGTTGTGAGACTCAACGGGCTCATAATTACTACTTGGTGGCTCAATACTTTGGTGAAGATGTCTCGTTTGTTCCGCAAAAAAGTGCAATCTAACCATTTTTTTTTTCTAACCAAAGGTCTAATATTTTTTCGATAATTAATCATCTTATATTTTTTTCTATCATTTTGTTAGCATCGCATCCAGCAAGCTACTTGTAGACTATGCACTCAGGACAAAATATATTATATTGAAAAGGAGTGGACAAGTACCCCCTTATGCCCATCAGATCGCGAATCAAATGTAAGTATTAAGACTCAATATGAGATTTCCACGAAGAGCTTGTTAGTGGAGACTCTTATCAGAGAAGCGAAAATGAACAATAATACCCTCGAATTATTTGAGATCCCCTCCGACTTTTTGATAATAGTAAATAGGGATATTATTAATCCTAATAATTTTCATAATAAAGAAACTAGTGTGTCTAGTTTTTCTTTA